GGCATTAACTGAAATAAAGAATAATTTACACAGCTTCAATAATAGAGTATGTAGATCCAAGGAGCAAACCATCGATTTGGAATATAAGGAAGCAAAAAATCCCCAATCAGAACAGCAAAAAGAAAAAAGAATCCAAAAAAATGAGGATAGAGTAAGGAGCCTCTGGGATAACTTCAAGTGTGCCAACATTCGCATCTTGGGGGTGCCCGAAGGAGAAGAGAGAGAACAAGAAATCGAAAACCTGTTTGAAACAATAATGGCAGAAAACTTTCCTAACTTGGTGAAGGAAACAGACATACAAGTCCAGGAAGCACAGAGAGTCCCAAACAAGATGAACCCCAAGAGGCACGCACCAAGGCACATCATCATCAAAATGCAAAAGGTTCAAGACAAAGAGAGAATCTTAAAAGCAGCAAGACAAAGGAAGCTAGTTACCTACAAGGGAGTACCCATTAGGCTGTCAGCTGATTTCTCAAAAGAAACTTTGCAGGCCAGAAGGGAGTGGCAAAAAATATTCAGAGTGATGAAAACCAAGAACCTACAACCAAAATTACTCTATCCTGCAAAGCTGTCATTTAGAATCGATGGACATACAAAAACTTTCCCAGACAAGAAAAAGTTAAAGGAGTTCATCACCACCAAACCGTTATTATATGAAATGATGAAGGGTCTTTTTGAAGAAAAAGATAAAATGTATGAACAAACCAAATGGCAATGAATGCATATCTATCAACAATGGAATCTACAAACAAAATGAACAGGAAGAACAGAAACATTCTCATAGATACAGAGAGCATTTTGTTGGTTGCCAGTTGGGAAGGGGATTGGGGGAATGGGTGAAAAAGGTGAAGGGATTAAGAAGCACAAATTCATTGCTAGACTGACAAACCTCAAAGGGAAAGGGGTTGGGGGGGGTGGGAAGAAATAAACCAAAGAACTTATATACATAACCAATGGACACAGACAACAATGTGGGAAAAGGTGGGAGGGGGGCGGGAGTGGGGAGGAGGGGGTCAATGGGGGAAAAATGTGGAACATCTGTAATACATTTTACATCCAACAATAAAGATTTGGAAAAAAAAATAATAATAATGTGATAAGTTTGCATGGTGACAGATGATTACTAGACTTATTGTGGTGATCCCATTGTAAGGCATATACATGTCAAATCACTATATTCTACACCTGAAACTAATATAATATTGTATACCAACTGTACTTGAGAAAAATTAAAACTAAACAATGAATTCAGAGACATTGTCAATAAATCTCATGTAGTTGGTGAAGATGCCAAGGTGTCTGTTTTGGTTAATGATATATAGGAAACATAGGAATGCAGATAATATTTGGGGACTGACAACCAAAAATAGTGTGTTGTAATATCTGTGGGATATCATTCAGAAAGAAATGACCAGTAGTCATATTTATAGACTTGTGAGTAAGAGGAAATTCAAAGTTGTAAATATAGATCTATCTAGTCATTTGGTAGGTCAATGAAGACACTAGGAGAAAAATAAAACATGGAATTTTAGTGAAATTAAGGTAGATACAATGATAAAAGGCTGATAAAAATCAGATCTTCATTGTTTTTGGTCCTTGATCAGCCCAGCTTCAGTGTTCATTCTTGAATTTCCTCTCTCCTTTCTTGTCACCTGTATATTAGTTTCTTATTGCTGCTGTCACAGATCGCCACAAGCTTAGTGGTTTAAACCAAAACAAATTTATTCTTACCATTCTGGAGGTCAGAAGTTCAAAGTGGATCTCACTGATCTAAAATCAAGGTGTAGGCAGGCTTGCATTCCATCTGGAGGCTTTAGGACAGTCCGTTTGATTATTTAGTCTAGCTTCTGGAGGCTGCAGGCTTTACCTCGATCGTGGACCCCTTCTGTGTTCACAGTCAGCATCGGTGGGTAGAGTCTCACGTTGCATCCCTCTAACATTCATACTCTCCTGCCTCCCTCTTCTTCTAATAAGGGCCTTTGAGACTACATTGGGCCTACTCAGATAATGTCCCTATCTCAAGGTCCACTGATTAACAACTTGAATTTTATCTGCAGCCTTAATTCTCCTTTGCCATATAACCATATTCCTTAATTTCTGCGTATTAAGATGTCGATATCTTTGGAAGGCCATTCTGTGTACACACCATGTTCTTTTTATTTTTTCACACATCTAGATAAAGGAAGGAATATTTTGCTCTTCATAGAGGTAGTTGCCTGTGGATCCATAGGAGATAGGTCTAGAAGAGAAGGGGATTTTGTGTGATTGCTATTGAAGGGAAGAAAGGTCAGGTTTACATGGAATTTGGTGGTTTTAAAATCATCTTAGTGCCTGGCCAGTGTGGCTCAGTGGTTGATCATCAACCCATGCACCAAGAGATCTCTGGTTTGATTCCTGGTTAGGGCACATACCCAGGTTATGGGCTGATCCCCAGTGAGGGGTGTATAGGAGGCAGCTGATTGATGTTCTCTTTGTTTCTCTTTCTCTCTACCTTCCTCTCTCTCTAAAATCAATAAAGAAAAATATTTAAAACCCTCTTAGTAATAGACATGGATTGTAATAATAGACTGTGAGTTGTTTTATCTTTATATGTGTTTTTTTGTGTACACTTTTTTGTAATAAGTGTTTCTTATGCTTCATGTTTTACTAACATTTCATCTTTTAGTGAGTTTACTTAATTCTGCCCACCTGGGGAAAGCCTTTCTTGTAATACTGATGCCTGCAAAGTGGATGATTCATATATATTTATTTTTGTTTGCAGTGTTTCCTTGCGTGAATTATGTGAAAATGAAGAAGACAATGTGGTCTTAGCATTTGAACAACTGAGTAAAACCTTTCGTGAAAAACTAAACAAAGTTTAAAAACAAAGTCTGGCCAAACTACTTGAAATATTTTCATGGAATTTTTCAAGTCGTAGTTTGTGATTCTTACGCTTTTGTCAGAAATACATACACATGAAGTAGAAAGAGCAAGCACTTTGGAGTCAGAGTTGCGATCAAACCTGCCATGTTCTCTCATGAGTACCGTTGGATGAATTACTTAATAATTCTGAGTTTTGTTTCTTTATATAGTTGAGTAATAATGATTATGACTCAGCTGGTTTCAGATTGATTGAGAAAATGCAAGGACTTTGTATGTGACTGAGAAACAATTTTTACTCTGTGAGACTTAAGCAAGTATTATACTCCGAACATTTTTTCCCTCAATGTCATAGTTTGTAAAGTGTCTGTTAAGGCTAAAATAAAGGATTACAGTATCTTGAAGTTAAAATACGTTCTCTTTAATTGGCCTAAATGTCTTTACATGACTCAGATATATGACCATTAAAATAGCATCTTCCAGTAATCTTAAACTAATAATTGAAAATTACGAACGAAAGTTTTGGTAAAAATTCTCTGATGTTTGAAAATTAAATGTAGCTAATGATTTGGCTTGATTTTAATGGTATATAAGTGACTTGAAAACTACAAAGAAATGAAATAGGTTTAATCTACATAACCATTGGCCTCTGTACATTAAATCTATGCATCTGAAAATCCATTGCATCCCCATGTGCATTTTATGTAATAGTTTATGCATACATTTTACCCTTGAACATCGGGTTTGAACTGGGTAGGTCCACTTACACTTGGATTTTTTTGTATACATTGCATCTGTTTTGGAGACTTGAAACAATTTGAAAACTACATTGCATATTATTTGGGAGCATTTGCAACAGTTTGAAAAAACTCTCGGATGAACCATGTAGCCTAGACTACTGAAAAAAATTAAGATGAAATTAGCTATGCCATGAATGTAAAAAATATATGTAAATACTAGTCTGTTTGTTATTTACTACCATACAGTTTGGGAGAGCCAGTCAAGGAAATTTATGCAAGAGACTGTGCATATGGCAAAAAAGGTGATGGTGGGGGAGGTGAAGGCTTTGAGATACGGATCTTGGGGAAATTCAAGAGCTAATAGACACCGTACCAGAAGAATGAACAGAAGATGACTGGTTGGAGATGAGTACTTCTGAGCCAGTGCCAGACGACGACGAAGACCATGTAGAAGAAGCACAGTGCAGGAAAACAAACTGACATCAGACTACCAGGCAGAAAGGTTCTGATTATTCAAGACAGCTTTGACTTCTTTTACAACATGGACCCTTCTAGGACACGGGCACTGAAACTAAAGCAAAAAGAAGAATTGGTGGGTGCAATGTAGAAACATTTTTAGAGAAATAGAAAAGCAAAAAAGTCAGGAAGGAATTAAGATGTATTTCCAAAAGGTATACTGAGTGTGCCTGCCTCTCCTTGTGATCCTTGCTCTTCTTCCACCTCCTCCTCCTCTTCCCCTCTGCCACCGTAGAGACAGCAGGACCAAACCCTCTCTTCCTCCTCCTCCTCAGCCTACCTGATGTGAAGACAACAAGGATGAAGGCTTTAATGATGATCCACTTGCCCTTGATGAATAGTAAATCATCATATTGTACAATTAATAAACATATATGTTGCCCTGGCCAGTTTGGCTCAGCGGTTAGTGTCTAGAGAGACCTGGGTTTGGTTCCTTGTAGGGGCATGTACCTCACTTGCGGTTTGTCCCTGGCCCCAGTTGGGGTTGTGCGGGAGGCAGCCACTCGATGTATCCCTTTCACGTTGATGTTTCTCTCTCAGTCTCTTCCTCTCTCTCCCTCCCACTCTATCTGAAAATGGAAAAATGTCCTCGGGTGAGGATAAAAAAATAAAAAATATATAAACATATATGTTGTGTATATGTGTGTCTTTGTGTGATAATAATAACTGTATGGTGAGAACTGTCTGAGATGTTTCTGTGTTATCACCACCACCACCTAAGTATTCAATGTGTAGAACATCATCTGCATGGCTTGTATGGAAGTAGATAACCTATCTTTACATAAGCATAAAGTGAGTGATATTTAATGTAAAATTATGAATGTGCTAGTTTTCTTGCTGTTTTATAACTTTGCTTTCAAAGAATTACAGTAAAATGAAGTGTCTCTTCTGTGATTGGAGAAACTGCTTAACAGCCTGTCTTCACAGGTAAGTGGTTTTTAAAAAACTAACAATACTATATTCTGAATGACTGTAACACTGTGTGTCATAAAATTTTATAATGATATATTTATTAGTTTACAGGCTAGATGACCATGGAGCAATCCAATTGATTACTAGGCCACCATAAAGCAATCATATTGCTGCTGTTTTGTTATCAATACATGAATTGGTATGCCTATAAATAAATGCGAATTTATTTTTCGGATTATATTTTCATTTTTGAAGCCTAGCATTAGTAATATAAATAAGATCTACAGTGTTTTATAGCATATAAGACAATACTGATGTAGGTATTGACAAGCCATTTATCTTGTAAACAATGTAAATTTATAGTACTGATAAATACAGTACTACTATAAATGTATAATAAATACAGTGCTATAAATGCATTTTCTCTTTTATTTTCTTAAGATGTTCTTTTATCTAGCTTTATTGTAATAATAGAGTATAATACATATAATATACAAATTATGTGTTAATTGACTATGTTATTGGTAAGGCTTCCAATCAGTAGTTGACTATTAGAAGTTAAGTTTTTGAAGAGTCAGAGGTTATATATAAATTTATGACTGTGCAGGGGGTCAGTACCCCTAAACCCCATGTTGTTTAAGAGTCAACTGTAATCATTTTTCCACCCTAGCCTGAGCCTCAGATCAGGTTCTAGAATCTATTTTGGAACCTAAACTTACAAACAAAGCATTTCATCCTTGAAGCAAAAGGTCTATTTTGTCCTACTACCCAGATGTCTTACTTAAAGATGACCTTTTGCATGACATTATTTATATGTCGATTTTGTTGGCTTAGAAATCACCTGTGGTTCATTTTGTCTGGAGATGGAAGAATTCTATTTTCTGAAACTGACCCTTCACTGTTGTACCATATTAGGGGTCTTCCTTTGGCTACATTTATTTTTATTATTTAAAAACTTACACTACAACAATTTCTGAACTCCCAGATTCTCAGAAACCAAAGTGGTTTGTGCTGTTCTTTATTTCTACTAAAATCAATGATATAAAATATTAATATGTTGTGATGGTTTCCACTTCCCACTTATAGTTTCATAAGTCTCATGGAGATGTGAAGTTTTTTCCCTCATATGACTTAGCCAATCTGGCTCCCTGATTTTTAGAAAGAGTGTAAGTTAATTTCTTACAATATAGTATTCTCTTAAAAGAAAAAAAAATATATATATATATATGCCAAAATTCTTTGAGGTGGGTCTAATGGGCAACTTCCTTTAAAAAATTTTTTTTAACAATAACTTAAAGAGTAATTTAGAACAATTTATAGTGAGTTTATGTAGGAACTTCTAAAGCATCTTATGTCCCATTTGTTGTAATGATGGGCAGTCTTTCTGAGAAGCACACACAGAGATCTTGGTGAGATTTACTGGAGAATTATTATTACCACCATAATTTATTTCCATTTTTTCTGAGAGAAAAAAACAAACCAGAACATTGACATTGGGCTTATAAAGAGTATTCTGGAAGAGCCATTTATTTTAAAAAGTTATTTGAGAAAATTGTAAATGCATATGCTGTTTTAAGACATAGTACACCCACACATATATATGGTAATTTAATTGATGATGGAGCCAAGACTGTAATAGGGAAAGGAGAGCTTCTTCATTGAATAGTGTTGGGAAAACTGGACAGCCACATGCAAAGGAATGAAACTGGACCACTGTCTTACACTATACACAAAAATTAACTCAAAACAGGTTAAAGAATTGAATGTAAGACCTGAAATCATAAAATGCCTAGAAGAAAACATAGGTGGCAAGCAGCTTGACATTGACACCAAAGCAAAGCAACAAAAGCAAAAATAAACAAGTGGGGTGACATCAAAGTAAATAGCTTCTGCATGGAAAAGGAAACCATCAACAAAATGAAAAGGCAACCTACCAAATGGGAGAAAATATTTGCAAAGCATTTATCTGATAAGGGGTTAATAATCCAAAATATATAAAGAACTCATACAACTCAAGAGCAAACAAGTAAATAAATAGTCTGATTAGAAAATGGGCCTAGGATCTGCATAGATATTTTTCTAAAGAAATACAGATGGCCAGTGGTACATGAAAAGATGCTAAACACCACTAATCATCAGGGAAATGCAGATCAAAACCACAATGAAATAATTACCTCATACCTATTAGAATGGCTATCATAAAAAAGGCAAGAGATTGCAAGTGCAGGTGAGGATGTGGGGATTCTTGTTCATGGTTGTTAGTAATGTAAATTGGTGCAGCCATTACAGAAAACTATGGAGATTCCTCAAAAAAATTAAAAACAGAAGTACCATATGATCCAGCAGTTCCACTACTGGTATTTATCTGAAGGAAACAAAACACTGACTTGAAAAAATATATGCATTTCCGTGTTCATTGAAGCATTATTTACAGTTACCACGACAGGGATGATTGGATAAATAAAAAATATACGCATAATGGAATATTATTTGGCCATAAAAAATTAAATCTTGCTATTTGTGACAATATTGATGGAACTTGAGGGCATTATGGTAAGTGAAATAAGTCAGAGAAAGACAAAGATCCTATGATTTTAATTATACAGGGAATCTATAAAAACCCAAACAACCCAAAAGCTGAATTTATAGATGCAGGAAACTGATTACTGGTTGCCAGAGGCAGAAGGTGGGTGGTGAGTGAAATGGGTGAAGGGGATCAAAAAGTAAAACTTTCAGTTATAAAATAAAGGTCATGGGATGTAATATACAGCATGGTGATTGTAGGTGGTAATACTATATTGCATGTTTAAAAATGCTAAGATAGTAAGTCTTAAAAGTTTTCATCACAGGAAAAAATTGTAGCTGTGTGGTAATGGATGTTAACTAGTTGTGGTGATCATTTCACAATATAGGCAAATATTAGATCATTATGTTGTACTTCTAATACCATGTCAATTATATCCCAAATCAAAAAGTAATTTAAAAAATAACACAGATCCTATATAGCATTTACCCAGTTTTCCAAACAGTAACGTCTTGCATAATTATAGCATAGTACAATATCAGAACCTGGAAATTGATATTGATATAAATTTAATGCATTATTCAGATTTCATCAGTTTCACATGCATTCATTTGTGTGTATTTCTATGAAGTTTTATTGCATATCTAGGTTTGTATATCCACCATCATAGTCAAGATACAGAACAGTTCCATACCATCAAGAATCCTCTTATTGTCCGTTTTATAACAACCTCCCTCACTCTCTCATGCCCACCCCTTTCCCCTACTTATCTGACTCCACACCCCTTCACCCCCAGCTGTCTCTAAGCTCTAGCAACCATAGTGGTTCCCATTTCTGTCACTTTTTCATTTCAAGATCTATATAACTAGAATCATACAGTATGTAGCCTTTTGATATTGGCTTTTTTCACTCAGCATAATTCTCTTGAGAGCCATCCAAGTTGGTTCATCATAACTTCAACCCTCTGTTTGCCTCTTTTCTGTCTTTTCTTCAAGAAAGAAATTGATCCTAGTGATTTCAGCCTATGCATTAAATAGGAAGCAATAATAAATGTGTGGAGTTCATATTTTTCTAAAGGGAACTTAAAAACTGCTGCTACATGGGTTATGCCGCATGAACAGAATCACGGGATTAATTTGGATACTTTTATTCCTCTTTGTATTGTTGTATAGTACTTCCAAATTCAAAATGAGAAGAAAAGATGTTCTGTATCAAACCATCTAAACAATAATGTTGTTTTAAAAAATTATTTCTTAATTCTCAAAACAACCTAGTAAAGTAGTTATTCTCATCATCCTTATTTAAAAATGAGAAAACTGAGGCTCAGAACAGCTCACAGGACATGGTATAAACCCAGGTCTGTCTGGCCCCAAATCTCTTCTTTTGATTACAAAACACTGTCTCATATACAGAGTATTATTTAATGTAATTCCCCAAAGAGAATGGCATTATTTCCTTTTGGGGGGATGAAGACACAGAATGGAGACATTTAAGGCCTTTAGAGGGTAAGGCAATGGTTGAGAAAAAATGGAAATGTATTTTGTGAGGGCTTTAAAAACTTTATTTATTTAGATCTTGCTGGATAAGATTTGCTATTAATTTACTTAGGCTTTTTTTTAGGATCCCCCCCCCCCCCCAGATATTTTGTTTAGGATTTTACATCTATGTAAATCAATGACACAGGCCTGAATTTTTCCTTTCCCATATCTGATTTTTTATGACAAGATTTTATTTTAGAGTCAAAAGTAAGTTGGGGAGTATTCTTTTTTTTTTTTTTTTTTTAATCCTCACCTGAGGACATTTTTGCATTTAGCTTCAGAAAGAGAGGGAGGGAGGGGGGAAGTGAGAGAAAAAAATAAAAAAGAATGTGGATCTTTACTTCGTAATTCTTTTTTTTTTTTTTTTCATCCTCACTTAAGGACATTTTTGCATTTAGCTTCAGATAGAGTGGGAGGGAGAGAGTGGGGAAGAGAGAGAAACATCGATGTGAGAGAGACACATTGAGTGATTGCCTCCCGCCCAACCCCAACTGGGGCCGGGGACAAACTGTAACCGAGGTATGTGCCCTTAATGGAAACCGAACCCAGGCCTCTCTGGTCCGCAGGTCTATGCTCCAACCGCTGAGCCAAACTGGCCAGGGTGGGAGTATTCTTTCTTATTCATTTATCTACTATTTATGAATTGTTTGATGAGATTGGAATAACATGTTCCTTTAATGTTGATTTATTTTAATTGAAGGACAAGAATGTGATAAATTTTAAATGTTTGTTAAAGTTTTCATGTTATCTAAATATTTAAATTTTTTATTTATATCGTTGGTAGTACTTTTTGTAATTTTTAAAATTGCTGCCAGTTTTGTAGTTTCATTCCTGTTTTTAATCTTAAAATAATTTATTTTTGTTATCTCTTTTCGTTTCTTGGCAAATGACAAACTTTGTAGATTTTATTTAAATAGTTTTGGTTTTATAAATCCTTTTTTCTTTTCTACATA